TGTTTTAAATCATGCAGTCTGTTCTGTGTAATCACTTCCTTTTTTTTAATTTGATGGGGAGGTGGAATGACTTGCTTAGAGGTATAAAGAAATGGAATCACTAGTTGCAAGAATGATCCTCCTAGCTGCCTATTGGTTTAAATAGAAAGCTTGAATATATGCTCAGGAATGTATCTGAGATGTGAGCAATGCTGAAGGAAACATAAGGTTTGAAGAGCATCCATTCCTATCAGGTGTCGTCTAGCTCTTCTCCTAGAGAAGCCCTTACCCAACTAGAACTTGATTACAGAAGTTAATGATCTCCTTGTTCAGCTAGCCTCAAGTAGCACTGCTCTTTTGGACAAAGAAGACTAGGAATTCCAGCAAATCATTGTCAAAATTTGATGCCTGCTAGCTTCCTCATCTTGCCATAGAAAAGTGGAAAGGGTTAGAAAATGAAGGGAGGAAATGGAATTCCAAGAAGCTGTTCACAGACTATGAAAGCCTGCCCCAGGTCAAGGTCATTGCCACAAGTGCTCGATGGCGATGTGAACTGTTCCCATAATAAAATGGAAGAGTACTATTGGACAATGGGAACACCCGGTGGGTGGGGGCATGGGAATCTATCTTTTTACTAAGCAAGCTTTCGCACGGGAAAACTCAGAGCTGGTTTTGCTTCTTCAGTTCTGAAGAAGCCCAATAAGGTTTACCTGCTTGGATTTAACTGCCTTGAGGATTCCTTTCGTTGGGTCTGCTAGTTGGATGAATAATAATCAAAGTCTCCATGATGTCTCTTTAGAAGATGTCACATTTGCTGGCTGATTTCCATTGCCTCCAACAAGACCAGTTTGTGAAGAGATCTCAGCAGAGGCATATAGCAAAAAATAAGAGAGGAAAAAGAGAATTATTTAGCAGCTATTTTAATGGAGAGTTTATACATGAGTGTTTGTTTTAGAAGTGCATTTAATATCTTTTCTGAATGGATTGTCATGTGCTTTTCCCGTGCTGCATGAAATAAACATTGTTGTTTCCAGACTTTATTCACTAAACCTGAGAAACAGAACATTCTATAGTTTATTTTTATTAATGTATGGCATTGTTACAGTAGCCAGGAGACCACAATGGTATTGCAGAGTAGTCATTTGATTTGCCAAGGTACCAGCTCTGTTGTAGGATACAATTGCACACTGTCGTGGAAAAACCCAATGCAAAAGACAAGAGACAGCAACACAACAACAATCATTCTTACTTTAGGATTCAGAGGTTTATTTTGCTAATAATTTGGAACATAGCAAGCATAATAACACAACATCCCTTACGTTAATAACCCATTGCAATGAGGATCATATGACATAGCAGAATCCAATAGGACAGCTATAGGCCAACAGCAAATCAATCAGGTCCAGTCCCAACCTTTTATACCCTTTCTCATTCTAAGACTATAGTCAGATGGTCCGCTGACCTTTGCTGACTTTTTACTGACTTCCTTCCGACCTACTTTCCACATATATCCGTGTACACTGGAACCCACATCCATCAGCGACTTTTCAGTTCCCTGTTTCTCCCACGGTTACAATATTCATGTTCCAAATATACATAGAACTATCTACTTTGCAATTTCATATTGCACATAGCTCAGCAGATTACAAATAGTATGTTCGTATTGTGAAGCAGCATAAAGTTCAAATCATTTCTGTGAGGGCCTATTTCAGGTTTGTTCTAGCCTCACCTTGTTATATGAGGAGGGGGCTATATTTTCATCTCCCACAACGCTTTCCAAGGTATGTTAGAGAAGGATGAGCTGGCTTCACACTAGAGAGAAAGATGAGCAATTCTTCCTGCAATGTCACCCCAAGCCCCCTCTCTTCCCAGAGCCTCCTCACAAATGGGCAGCGGAACCAGGATGGTTCACAGTGCTCAGGAATCTGACTGCCTGCACAGAGCACCAACTCGTCTCCCCACCAAAGTGGTACCTATCTATCTACTTGCATCGAACATGCTTTTGAACTGTTAGGCTTTGACACGAACCACTGGAGCAGAAACCATATCCAGCCTCATTAAGCCACTGAGCCACCCCACCCATTCTAAAGTTAGACTTGCAGATAATATGGATAATTTCTTTCTGTAAATACAGCAGAGCCATTAATCATGAAACCTTTTTCCACTTACAAGAATATTCTTGTAATGAAGCTCACACTTTCCAGAAAAGCAAAGACATGGTAAAATACTGATGCTTTCTCTGGTGATCTTGCCAAGATCTATGGAGATCTGTTTGCAACGTCTCCTATAGTGAGTTACTGAATTTCAGGAGGACATTTGCCCTTAGCAGCAAGAAATATGAGAATCCTTTTTCCAGATGATCTTGACTTGAGAAACAAGATCTTCCCAAATATCTATGGAGATTTGCAGTCATCCGGATCATAGTTGTTCCAAAGATGCTTTTTCATGAAGCAAGTGGACTTTCTTGTTTTTCCTTTGAAGATGTTTCGCTTCTCATCTAGGAAGCATTTTCAGCTCTGAAGAAGCTGAAGAAGCTTCTTGGATGAGAAGCAAAATGTCTTCAAAGAAAAACAAGAAAGTTCAGTTGCCTCATGAAAAAGCATCTTTGGGGCAATATCTGCCCAAGTTTATCATATCTTCTCTGTTCTGATGGCCTCTTAGTTATCTTCACTTAGCTGCTTCTGTCTAATTTAATCCTAAATTCTCAACTTTATCACATATGTCTTGTACTCCAATGATGAGATCCTTTTAATCTGTTGTTCCTGACCATGTTTTTGTTGTCCAGTCACTAAGTCATGTCTGAACCATAGACCACAGCATGCCAAGGCCCCCTATCCTCCACTGTCTCTCAGAGTTTGCCCAAATTCATGTTCCCTAATAAAAACATCAACTATTTTTGCAGACAAACTTGCATGTGATTCCATTCTTGGTTTAAAACCTAATTTACTCTTTTGCAATTAGAATCATTTGGAAAAGAATCATTTCTTTTAACTTTTAATATTTCTTTATTGAGTTTGTAGCCCACTCCTTTTCCAGATATCTCAAGGCTAAACTAAATCAACAGTACAGGATTCAACAATGTTATTTTTTCTAATGGAGAAAAAAATGATGGAAAATAAAAAATAATTTTTTAGGATCCTTGGTGCTCTCTGAGCTTGGTTTTTTTTTTTCTTGTAGACATTTTATTACCTAAACTAATTAACATCATCAATGCTAGTCTGCAAGAAAACAATCAAGCTCAGAGAGCAGCAAGGAACCCTCATTTCAACCCTGAGCTACAAATATTCACATTTATTTTATTTATTTTTTATTCATTGGAACTGTTGTCCCATGTCAATTTCTGATATTAAAAACATAAATAAGATGATTAAATAATCATAATCTTAATCACAATCATAATCATAATAGAGTTGGAAGGGACTTTGGAGGTCTTCTAGTCCAACCCCCTGCTAATGTAGAAAACCCTATACCATTTCAGACAAATGGTTGTCCAATCTCTTCTTAAAAATGTCCAGTGTTGGAGCATTCACAGCCTCTGAAGGCTAGTAGAGTAGAGTAGAGTAGAGTAGAGTAGAGTAGAGTAGAGTAGAGTAGAGTAGAGTAGAGTAGAATAGAATAGAATAGAATAGAATAGAATAGAATAGAATAGAATAGAATAGAATAGAATAGAATAGAATAGAATAGAATAGAAGAGTGTTCCAGTGTTGGAGCATTCACAACTTCTGGAGGCAGGTTGTTTTTATAAATAATAGGAGAGTATACAGTTTTGTCTCATTCTTTTGCCAGCCTGGAGCCAATGTATTTTGCCACATTTGTCTGTACTGTGACTTCCTGTCCTGGTTATAGGTTTTGCATGAGAATTCCTATTTTTCTAAACACTTTTCATAATTTGACATAATTGACATAATCAGATGCCTTTCTGTAATCAATGAAGCACATACTGGCTTCCTTTTGGTATTCTTTGGTTTTGTCAATTATCCAGCATGCATCAGCAATAATGTTTCATGTTCTTCTACTTTTTCTAAAGAGGCCAGCTCTTTAGAAAAGGTGAAAGAACATGAAACATTATTTAGGGCTCCAATCTGTGCCAGACATTCCTCGGTTTTATTTTGCTTTTCTGTGAAATTAAGGATATTATATGAAAGTTGTTTATGGAGATTCTCAATTATCCAGGTCATGGTTGTCCCAAAGGTACTTTTCAAAAGGCAACTGGACTTTTTGACAAGGTTAAGGACCAATTCTTCTGGAGAAAATATATATGTATACTCACTAATGCCCTACATTGACTTGATGGCATATATTCAGCATTATCATGTGGCAATGGACAAAAGAATCCACAAGAAAAGTCTAAGTGGTGGCTTCCTTAGCCTTATGTCATGTCGTTGCAGCCATTGGAATCATAGTTACAAAAAGAATAGGGTTTCTTCCAAAACAAAATTAACATAGACTCATAGAAGCAAATGAAAAATAATATGTAGTCCAAAGGGAAGTATTATTTTACAAGACCAGATCATATATTCTAGAGCAGGGCTTTTCAACCTTTTCACCCATTAAATTAACTAAATCCATTTCTTGCCAAAAACATGCAACATGTCCAGAACAGATCCGCATTTCATATTTTATCCATATTGCTAGTGATGATCCATGACTAGAGTAGTAAGTCTAGAATAGCGTAACAGAGATGTAAGAATAACTCAGGAAAGAGAAGATGGATCATGAATTTTAAGGTGAGGACAACATTATAATTAATTAAAGGAAAAACAGAAATTCAATCTATGCACTTTAGAGAAGGAAAAGGGTAATCCAAATAATAAGAAAGAGAAAATAATTAATAATTAATTCCCATTGCAAACAATAGGATCTTAACACATGGCTAATTGATCTTTTTATTATTATGTGTGCAAATCTTTCAAACTCACCTATTGTTTGAAAATAATTGTTTCCCAGGGCAGTTTCTGGGCAATTTTAATTGTCTTTCTCCTAAATCAACAATATTTTAATACAATGTTTACTAACTCTAGGGAACAAACGCAAAACATTCACCGAAGATGGAATGTTATAAAAATATGTGGACACAGAAGAATCTAACTGCTTCTACCTGGAGACATCAAGATGTATGACTCTGTCTATTTCTTCACTTTATGTCCAGAGTTCATATCAAGCAGGAATTCATAAGATTCTCAGAACCAACATCCAACTATCTCTAGATGTGAAAGGGGAAAATATCTCAATGAAACTGAGAAGAACTATCAGGGCTTTGTGGAAACCTGGCATACCACCAACTTGTATGTAACAATAATGATGGATTGGGTAATTGTTGGGTTTTTTAAAAAAAAACAAATTACAATTACATGTGTTGGGGTTTGCAATTAACTATGCCAGATAACATCTTCCTTTCCATGCTTCCTTTCCTTTAGGAGTCCATCTTGGAGCAACTAAAAAGTAATTGCTGTCCATCAAGAAAAAGTTCATCTGTTTTCCATGAGGGGCTCATTGAATCTTCTGAACAGAAAGAGAATTGAAAGTTATACAGCTACAAGTTAACGAGCAAATAATTCAAAACTCCATCAGGATTTTCCACCTAATCTTCCAGGAACAGCAATGGAAATATGGTCATTTCTACCCTTTCAGTCAATTGCATGCTAGCAAACGTAGCCTTTTGGAAAAGAGAAATGAATTGAATCACTCCTTCCCCAAGATTTTATTTATTTACTTACTTATCACATTTTTAAACCACAGAGGGATCCTGGTCCTGTAAAATATGGGTTCTCACAAATACATTGTACAAAATACAGTGTTGGAATAGGTCTGTGAAGTGGCAAACGATGCCGAACAAAATCTATATGCAATGCTATTTTCCAACTTGTGTAATGATCTATGAGTCTTCTGTAATTTCAACATAATTAGCAAAAGGTATATTAGGCTAATACAAGTTATTTTATATGTGGTCATTTGAGGGCAGACTTTTTCAACTTGGATATGGAGTATATATGTGCATACGAGATGAAAACATGGGTTGATCCTTCATATTTTCAACATTTTTCCAACTAATATACAGTATAGGAAGAACTGTGTGAATTCCATCGCCAGGGTAAAAGATTATTTGTTTTTAACTCCATGCTTCTGTTTTCCCTCAGGTTGATGGAACTTTAACTCCAATCTTTTTTCTATCAAGCAATTCCCAACTAACATATAGGCACAATCTGATTTCTCCTGTCCATGTAAAAGAACTTCCATCAACCCCAAATAAATACTTGTTTTCTGTTAGGTTAATGAGTCAAGGAGAACATTCCTGTTAACTTTGCTTGGTGCCTTTGCTTCTTCTCAAGGGGAATATCTTGCAAACATTTTGAAACTGGTCTCTCTCTGGCACTTTTTCTTAACCTGCTGTTGATACTGCCTCTTTCAACAGCCCAATCTGTTGGTCAATGTTTGCTAGTGGGACAACAATGGGAAACTCCCATTGTTCATTATCCAGAGTCGAACAGGATCAGTAGTTTTATAAGATGTAAACAAGACAAAAACAATTGGGTGTATCTCATTTGCAGCTCGGACAGGATGAGAGGTAGCTGATCAACAGATCTGTCAAAGAGAAGAAATTCCTGCAGGATCATTCAAGAGAACATTCTTGAAAGAATTACAATCTAATTTCCCCAACTTTATATAAATCTGACAAAATAAATACTGGTTAAATGCTGAGTAAATAATGCTTTTAACATTACAATAGGTTCTACTTTTTGGTTCTTTTTTTCCCCTAAATCACATAGAATTTTGGGATATAAGGAGCATTTCTTCTTCACGGGTCCTGGGTTGGTCAATAGGGATCTACTGGTCCATGCATTTGTAGGCTAGACATTAGGTGTTTGAAGAAGAGACTTCTACTATATGGAGTGTCCAAATCAAACAGCCCCAAATGAATTTATACTCTCTGGGTTTCCTCGTACAGAAGACTTAAAGGTCCCCTTGATTCTCTTCTTCTCTATCATGTTTGCACTCACTCTTTGTGGAAATTCTCTGGTCATCTTGGCGGTGATCACCAACCTTCAATTGCACAAGCCCATGTACTGGTTCCTCTGTCATCTCTCCGTCCTGGATATGGCCTTCTCAGCTGTGGTGGTTCCCAAAGTTACTGCAGGATTCAACCAGCAGGAAAAGGTGATTTCCTTCTCAGGGTGCATCTCACAGGTATTCTTTCTGAACTCGGTTGGGTGTACAGAATGTTTCCTTTACACCGTGATGGCTTATGACCGCTTCTTGGCCATTTGTAAACCACTTCACTATGGCAACCTCATGAGCTCGAAAGCCTGTCTCCTTCTCTCCTTGGGTACTATAATTGGAGGGACCCTTCACTCTACCTTGCTGACATCTCTTACCTTTCATTTGCCTTATGGAGAGAACAACTATATTGATTACATCTTCTGCGATGTTCCATCCATCCTGAAGCTGGCTTGTGTTGACGTACACTTTCAAGAGACAGTTATCATCGTTGACATGGGCAATCACCTGCTTTCTCCTCATCCTAGCATCATATACTTATATCATCACAACCATTTTGAAGATTAGTAGCAGTGAAGGGCGACAGAGAGCCTTCTCCACTTGCTCTGCCCATCTTACTGTGGTGGTCATATACTACCTGCCCTTATTTTCTCATTATTTGAGACCAGCCTCTCAGGACGTCATGGAGAGTGTGGTATGTGTGTTCTACACCACCATCACCCCTTTGTTAAACCCACTAATATATACACTTAGGAACAAGGAGATGAAAGCTGCTCTGCTGAAACTCTGGAGTGGGAATCCAGAGTAGACAGCAGGAAGTATACCCAAGACATTTTTTAACATTTTTAAAAAAGAAATATGGTGAATAGTCAAACTGAGGTCATCATTTCCAGATGGAATTCAGAGGTATTTAATTCTACTTTTCTATTGACTGCTCTTAAATAATGAATATAGCTGGCCAAATTGCATAGAAAGCCAAAGCAGCTGATTAGAAATATGCACATCAGCTAGTTGTTTCAAATCATGCAGTCTGTTCTGTGTAATCACTTCTTTTTTTTTAATTTGATGGGGAGGTGGAATGACTTGCTTAGAGGTATAAAGAAATGGAATCACTAGTTGCAACAAAGATCCTCCTAGCTGCATGTTGGTTTGAATAGAAAGCTTGAATATATGCTCAGGAACGTATCTGAGATGTGAGCAATGCTGAAGGAAACATAAGGTTTGAAGACCATCCATTCCTATCAGATGTCGTCTAGCTCTTCTCCTAGAGAAGCCTTTATCCAACTAGAACTTGATTACAGAAGTTAATGATCTCCTTGTTCAGCTAGCCTCAAGTAGCACTGCTCTTTTGGACAAAGAAAACTAGGAATTCAAGCAAATCATTGTCAAAATTTGATGCCTGCTAGCTTCCTCATCTTGCCATAGAAAAGTGGAAAGGGTTAGAAAAGGAAGGGAGGAAATGGAATTCCAAGAAGCCGTTCATGGACTATGAAAGCCTGCCCCATGTCAAGATCATTGCCACAAGTGCTCGATGGCGATGTGAACTGTTCCCATAATAAAATGGAAGAGTACTATTGGACAATGGGAACACCCGGTGGGTGGGGGCATGGGAATCTATCTTTTTACTAAGCAAGCTTTCGCACGGGAAAACACAGAGCTGGTTTTGCTTCTTCAGTTCTGAAGAAGCCCAATAAACCTGCTGGGATTTAACTGCCTTCAGGATTCCTTTCGTTGGGTCTGCTAGTTGGATGAATGATAATCATACTCTCCACGATGTCTCTTTAGAACAGTGGTTCTCAACCTTTCTAATGTCGCGACCCCATAATACAGTTCCCCATGTTGTGGTGACCCCCAACCACTTATATATCACCAGGTGCCAGGGGCGTGGCCAAAGAAAAGGGTAAAAAATGGCGGACAGTCTTGTTTGGTGACCCCCGTGAAATGATCGTTCAACCCCAAATGGGGTCCCGACCCACAGGTTGAGAACCACTGCTTTAGAAGATGTCACATTTGCTGGTTGATGTCCATTGCCTCCAACAAGACCAGTTTGTGAAGAGATCTCAACAGAGGCATATAGCAAAAAATAAGAGAGGAAAAAGAGAATTATTTAGCATTATTATTTAGAATTATTAATGGAGAGTTTATACATGACTGTATGTTTTAGAAGTGCATTTAATATCTTTTCTGAATGTATTGTATGTGCTTTTCCTGTGCTGCATGAAACTCCCTGATGTCATAATTTAAATAAACATTGTTGTTTCCAGACTTTATTCACTAAACCTGAGAAACAGACATTCTATAGTTTATTTTTATTAGTGTATGGCATTGTTACAGTAGCCAGGAGACCACAATGGTATTGCAGAGTAGTCATTTGATTTGCCAAGGTACCAGCTCTGTTGTAGGATACAATTGCACACTGTCATGGAAAAGCCCAATGGAAAAGACAAGATACAGCAATACAACAACAAACATTCTTACTTTAGGATTCAGAGGTTTATTTTGCTAATAATTTGGAACATAGCAAGCATAATAACACAACATCCCTTACATTAATAACCCATTGCAATGAGGACCATATGACATAGCAGAATCCAATAGGACAGCTATAGGCCAATGGCAAATCAATCAGGTCCAGTCCCAACCTTTTATACCCTTTCTCATTCTAAGACTGTAGTCAGATGGTCCGCTGACTTTTGCTGATTTCTGCTGACCTTTGCTGACTTTTTACTTACTTCCTTCCGACCTACTTTCCACATATATCCGTGTACATTGGAACCCACATCCATCAGCTACTTTTCAGTTCCCTATTTCTCCCACGGTTACAATATTCATATTCCAAATATACATAGAACTATCTGCTTTGCAATTTCATATTGCACATAGCTCAGCAGATTACAAATAGTATGTTCGTATTGTGAAATAGCATAAAGTTCAAATCATTTCAAATCATTGCATGTGATTCCATTTTTGGTTTAAAACCTAATTTACTCTTTTGCAATTAGAATAATTTGAGAAAGAATTCTTTTAACTTTTATTACTTCTTTATTGAGTTTGTAGCCCACTCCTTTTCCAGATATCTCAAGGCTAAACTAAATCAACAGTACAGGATTCAACAATGTTATTTTTTCTAATGGAGAAAAAATGATGAAAAATAGAAAGTAATTTTTTAAGGTCCTGGGTACACTCTGAGCTTGAGTTTTTTTTTTTCTTGTAGACATTTTATTACCTAAACTAGTTAACATCATCAATGCTAGTCTGTGAGAAAACAATCAAACTCAGAGAGCAACAAGTAACCCTCATATCAACTCTGAGCTACAAATATTCACCTTTATTTTTTTTATTTTTTATTCATTGGAACTGTTGTCCCATGTCAATTTCTGATATTAAAAACATAAATAAGATGATTAAATAATCATAATATTAATCACAATCATAATAGAGTTGGAAGGGACCTTGGAGGTCTTCTAGTCCAACCCCCTGCTCAGGCAGAAAACCCTATACCATTTCAGACAAGTGGTTGTCCAATCTCTTCTTAAAAATGTCTTGTGTTGGAGCATTCACAGCTTCTGAAGGCTAGTAGAGTAGAGTAGAGTAAAGTAGAGTAGAGTAGAGTAGAGTAGAGTAGAGAGGAGTGGAGTGGAGTGGATCACAATCATAATCATAATAGAGTTGGAAGGGACCTTGAAGGTCTTCTAGTCCAACCCCCTGCTCAGGCAGAAAACCCTATACCATTTCAGACAAATGTTTGTCCAATCTCTTCTTAAAAATGTCTTGTGTTGGAGCATTCACAGCTTCTGAAGGCTAATAGAGTAGAGTAGAGTAGAGTAGAGTAGAGTAGAGTAGAGTAGAGTAGAGTAGAGTAGAGTAGAGTAGAGAGGAGTGGAGTGGATCACAATCATAATCATAATAGAATTGGAAGGGACCTTGAAGGTCTTCTAGTCCAACCTCCTGCTCAGGCAGAAAACCCTATACCATTTCAGACAAATGTTTGTCCAATCTCTTCTTAAAAATGTCCAGTGTTGGAGCATTCACAGCTTCTGAAGGCTAGTAGAGTAGAGTAGAGTAGAGTAGAGTAGAGTAGAGTAGAGTAGAGTAGAGTAGAGTAGAGTAGAGAGGAGTGGAGTGGATCACAATCATAATCATAATAGAGTTGGAAGGGACCTTGAAGGTCTTCTATTCCAACCCCCTGCTCAGGCAGAAAACCCTATACCATTTCAGACAAATGTTTGTCCAATCTCTTCTTAAAAATGTCCAGTGTTGGAGCATTCACAGCTTCTGAAGGCTAGTAGAGTAGAGTGGAGTGGAGTGGAGTGGAGTGGAGTGGAGTGGAGTAGAATAGAATAGAATAGAATAGAATAGAATAGAATAGAATAGAATAGAATAGAATAGAATAGAATAGAATAGGAGTGTTCCAGTGTTGGAGCATTCACAACTTCTGGAGGCAGGTTGTTTTTATAAATAATAGGAGAGTATACAGTTTTGTCTCATTCTTTTGCCAGCCTGGAGCCAATCTATTTTGCCACATTCTGTCTGTACTGTGACTTCCTGTCCTGGTTTTAGGTTTTGCATGAGAATTCCTATTTTTCTAAACACTTTTCATAATTTGACATAATTGACACAATCAGATGCCTTTCTATAATCAGTGAAGCACATACTGGCTTCCTTTTGGTATTCTTTGGTTTTGTCAAATATCCAGCGTGCATCAGCAATAATGTTTCATGTTCTTCTACTTTTTCTAAAGAGGCCAGCTCTTTAGAAAAGGTGAAAGAACATGAAACAATATTTAGGGCTCCAATCTGTGTCAGACGTTCCTCGGTTTCATTTTGCTTTTCTGTGAAATTAAGGCTATTGTATGATAGCTTGCACGTTGTTTATGGAGATTCTCAATTATCCAGGTCATGGTTGTCCCAAAGGTACTTTTCAAAAGGCAACTGGACTTTTTGACAATGGGTCAAAAATTGACAATGGGTGCATCTTTGGAAGACCTGAAGAATCAGGTTAAGGACCAATTCTTCTGGAGAAAATATATATGTATGCTCACTAATGCCCTACCTTGACTTGATGGCACATATTTAGCATTATCATGTGGCAGTAGACAAAAGAGTCCACAAGAAAAGTCAAGGTGGTGGCTTCCTTGGCCTTGTGTCATGTGGTTTGCAGCCATTGGAATCATAATTACAAAAAAACAAAGGATATCTTCCAAAACAAAATAGAAGAAGCAAATGAAAAATAATACGTAGTCCAAAAGGAAGTATTATTTTACAAGACTAGATCATATATTCTAGAGGTGCATTTTTAGCATTGCATATCCATAAATTAACTATGGATCTGCATTTCATATTTTATCCATATAGCTAGTGATGAGAACAGATCTGCATTTCATATTTTATCCATATAGCTAGTGATGATCCATGACTAAAGTAGTAGGTGTAGAGTAGCATAACAGAGATGTAAGAATAACTCAGGAAAGAGACAAGATGGATCATGAATTTTAAATTGAGGACAAGATTATAATTAATTAAAGGAAAAACAGAAATTCAATCTATACATTTTACAGAAGGAAAAAGGTAATCCAAATAATAAGAAAAAGAAATAACTTGAGCAGTCAGTTCTGGATTAAAATAAAATGTTCTGAATTAATTCCCATTGCAAACAATGGGATCTTAACTCATAGCTAATTGATCTTTTTATTATTATGTGTGCAATCTTTCAAACTTGTTTGAAAATAATTGTTTCCCAGGGCAGTTTCTGGCAATTTTAATTGCCTTTCTCCTAAATCAACAATATTTTAATATAATGTTTACTAACTCTAGGGAATAAAGGCAAAACATTCACCAAAGATGGAATGTTATAAAAATATGTGGACACATAAGAATCTAACTGCTCCTACCTGGAGACATCAAGATGTATGACTCTGTCTATTTCTTCACTTTATGTTCAGAATTCATATCAAGCAGGAATTCATAAGATCTTCAAAACCAACATCCAACTATCTCTAGATGTGAAATGAAACTGAGAAGAACTATCATGGCTTTTTGGAGACCTGGCATACCACCGACTTGTATGTAACAATAATGATGGATTGGGTAATTGTGGGTTTTTTTAAAAAAACAAACAAACTACAATTACATTTGTTGGGGTTTGCAGTTAACTATGCCAGATAAAGCTTAGAAAGAAAACATCTTCCTTTCCATGCTTAGTTTAGGAGTCCATCTTGGAGCAACTAAAAAATAATTGCTGTCCATCAAGAAAAAGTTCATCTTTTTTCCATGAGGGGCTCATTGAATCTTCTGAACAGAAAGAGAATTAAAAGTTACACAGCTACAAGTTAACGAGCAAATAATTCAAAACTCCATCAGGATTTTCCACCTAATCTTCCAGGAACAGCAATGGAAATATGGTCATTTCTACCCTTCCAGTCAATTGCACACTAGCAAACTTAGCCTTTTGGAAAAGAGAAATGAACTGAATCACTCTTTCCCCAAGATTTTATTTATTTGCTTGCTTATCACATTTTTAAACCACTGAGGGATCCTGGTTCTGTAAAATATGGGTTCTGACACATACTTTGTACAAAATACAATGTTGGAATAGGTCTATGAAGTGGCAAACGATGCCAAACAAAATCTATGTGCAAAGCTATTTTCCAAGTTGTGTAATGATCTATGAGTCTTGGAATGCCAACATAGTTAGCAAAAGGTATATTAGGCTAATGCAAGTTATTTTATATGTGGTCATTTGAGGGCAGACATTTTTCAACTTGGATATGGACTATATATGTGCATACGAGATGAAAACATGGGTTGGGTCCTGATCCTTCATATTTTCATATCAATATTTTCCAACTAATATATAGGAAGAACTGTGTGAATTCCATCGCCAGGGTAAAAGATTATTTGTTTTTAACTCTATGCTTCTGTTTTCCCTCAGGTTGATGGAACTTTCACTCCTATCTTTTTTCTATCAAGCAATTCCTAACTAACAAATAGGCACAATCTGATTTCTCCTACCCATGTAAAAGAACTTCCATCAGCCCCAAATAAATACTTTTGTTTTCTGTCAGGTTAATGAGTCAAGGAGAACATTCCTATTAACTTTGCTTCGTGCCTTTGCTTCTTCTCAAGGGGAATATCTTGCAAACATTTTGAAACTGGTCTCTCTCTGGCACTTTTTCTTAACCTGCTGTTGATACTGCCTCTTTCAACAGCCCAATCTGTTGGTCAAAGTTTGCTAGTGGGACAACAATGGGAAAGTCCCATTGTTCATTATCCAGAGTTGAACAGGATCGGTAGTTTTATGTGAGCAAATGTAAACAAGACAAAAACAATTAGGTGTATCCCATTTGCAGCTCGGACAGGATGAGAGGTAGCTGATCAACAGTTCTGTCAAAGAGAAGAAATTCCTGCAGGATCATTCAAGAGAACATTCTTGAAAGAATTACAATCTAATTTCCCCAACTTTATTTAAATCTGATAAAATAAATACTGGTTAAATGCTGAGTAAATAATGCTTTTAACATTATAATAGGTTCTACTTTTTGCTTCTTTTTTTCGCCTAAATCACATAGAATTTTGGGATATAAGGAGTATTTCTTCTTCACAGGTCCTGGGCTGGTCCATAGGGATCTACTGGTCCATGCATTTGTAGGCTAGACATTAGGTGTTTGAAGAAGAGACTTCTACTATATGGAGTGTCCAAATCAAACAGCCCCAAATGAATTTATCCTCTCTGGGTTTCCTTGTACAGAAGACTTAAAGGCCCCCTTGATGCTCTTCTTCTCTATCATGTTTGCACTCACTCTTTGTGGAAATTCTCTGGTCATCTTGGCGGTGATCACCAACCTTCAATTGTACAAGCCCATGTACTGGTTCCTCTGTCATCTCTCCGTCCTGGATATGGCCTTCTCAGCTGTGGTGGTTCCCAAAGTTACTGCAGGATTCAACCAGCAGGAAAAGATGATTTCCTTCTCAGGGTGCATCTCACAGGTATTCTTTCTGAACTCGGTTGGGTGTACAGAATGTTTCCTTTACACCGTGATGGCTTACGACCGCTTCTTGGCCATTTGTAAACCACTTCACTATGGCAACCTCATGAGCTCAAAAGCCTGTCTCATTCTCTCCTTGGGTACTATAATTGGAGGGACCCTTCACTCTATCTTGGTGACATCTCTTACCTTTCATTTGCCTTACGGAGACAACAACTATCTTGATTACATCTTCTGCGATGTTCCATCCATCCTGAAGATGGCTTGTGTTGACATACACTTTCAAGAGACAGTTATCATCGTTGAAATGGGCTTTGTGACAATCACCTGCTTTCTCCTCATCATAGCATCTTATACTTATATCATCACAACCATTTTGAAGATTAGTAGCAGTGAAGGGCGACAGAGAGCCTTCTCCACTTGCTCTGCCCATCTTACTGTGGTGGTCATATACTACTTGCCCTTATTTTCTCGTTATTTGAGACCAGCCTCTCAGGACGTCATGGAGAGTGTGGTATGTGTGTTCTACACCACCATCACCCCTTTGTTGAACCCAATAATATACACACTTAGGAACAAAGAGATGAAAACTGCTCTAGTCAAACTCTGGGGTGGGAATCCTGAGTAGGTAGGCAGCAACAGATGCACCATGTATTTTTCCTCAAAACTAGATAAGCAATTGTGACCTCTAATTTACTTTCCTGTAAGGAGGTGCAAATGAAAATGAGAAGAGAGATCAGAACTACTTCTTTTGTAGCTCATCCAGGATTGTTGGAGAGGATATATGTGAATGTCCTAAAGATGCTTTTTCATGAGGCAACTGAACTTTCTTGTTTTTCTTTGAAGACGTTTTGCTTCTCATCCAAGAAGCTTCTTCAGCTCTGACTGGATGGTGGGGAATGGAATGATTTATATTCCTTGCAGAAGAAGCTTCTTGGATGAAAAGTGAAACATTTTCAAAGAAAAACAAAGAAAGTCCGGTTGCCTCATGAAAAAGCATATTTGGGACAACTGTGACCTGGATGGCTGAGAATCTCCATAGATACATGTGAATATAATTTTAAACATCTGTTTAGTTTTTCTCTTGCATATCTTGTGTGCGTTTCTACTTTTTTGGTATGTTTTTCTCAGTCAGATGTATACTAAAAAATGTTAATTTCAGAATAAAATTAGTTCTTCTATTATTCTTTTATTGTTTAAAAGGAAACTGTAACAGAGTATATTGTTAATTTTGGAAATATTATAGTTAATTCCTTTTCAGTAAAAATATTCATACTGCAGAAATATTCATACTGAAACAGCATTCACTGTATTTGATAGTTTTGTAGATTATGCCAATATTTTCCTGAGATTCCAAAATGTGTTCAAACACTGCCCACTTGCATTATGTTCTGATTATCTCATGGAGAGAAAATGTACTGACTTCCTGATGATCTTTGCTTAAGGATCAGAGTCTTTCTGAACCAATGAGATGGCCTACACCTTTATTGATTTGTTGATTCTGGCTTCTGACTCAGCCATACTGCATGGATTCACCATCAATCTTACTTGGTCCTGATTTCTAAGTTGTATCTTAATGGTAGCACAGTAGTTAGAATGTGGTATTGTAAGCTAATTCTGCCCACAGCCTGGAGTTCAATCCTGATGGGCTGAAGGTTGAACTCAGCCTTCCATCCTTCCGAGGTTGGTAAAATGAGAACCCAGATTGCTGGGGGCAACAGGCTTAGAGAGCTTTGTAAAGCACTGTGAAGCTGCATATAAATCTAAGTGCTATTACTATTAATATGGATCTTTTCTGTATATTATACCTCATAGAACAGTGGTGTTTAAATTACACTCTCTGATCTATGATAGTTTAGATGGAGGAATAGATACATAATTCTTATATAATATTGGGGGGGGGGGGTTTCCCTTAATGAAATTGTATATTTTTGCAACAGTATATTCACCCTCTTTGTGGTTTCAAAAGAATTGACTTCATCTCTGCTGTAGATATCGTAATTTGTAATGTCTGAGAAGATAAACATTCTTTTTATTAAGAAAATGAAAATCAGAGTCTCATTATTGCCATCAGGTTTAACGTAGAAGCATTTGTTTGTAATAAAGTAAATAAAATACAAGCTCTAACATTAAAAATTCCAAAACTTTATTTTGGTTTCTTGTTCTGTATTTCACTTGGGATGAGATAATGTTTTTATATATATAATTCAGCATTGGGGGAAAAATAGGTAGAACATTAATGAGGTGTAGTATATTTGAAGAAAAGAGAATGGAAGCATTGTGTACATATTCTGGAGGGGATTTCCAGAATCCTGGAAAGATCAAAGAAATAAAAGCAATCAGAACTTTTGAAAGAATCAGGAAGCTCTTGACTGAATAATAGAATAAGAGAGATGGGAGGGACCTTGGAGGTCATCTAGACCAACCCCTTGCTCAGGCAGGAAACCCTATACCCTTTCTGAAGAATGGCTGTCCAGTCTCTTCTTTAAAACTTCTAATGTTGGAGCATCCACAACTTCTGGAGGGAAGTTGTTCCACTGGTTAATTATTCTCACTGTTAGCAAGTTTCTCCTTAATTTCAGGTTGCTTCTCCCCTTGATTACTTTTCATCCATTGTTTCTTGTTCTGCCTTCAGGTGCTTTGGAAAATAAATTGACCCCCTCTTCTTTGTGGCAACCCCTTAGATATTGGAAGATTGTTATCATGTCACCCTAGACCTTTTTTCACTAGACTGGACATACCCAATTCCTGCAACCATTCTTCATAAGTTTTACTCTCCAGCCCCTTAAACATCTTTTGTATGCAAATACAAAAATGAAACAAAATCTGTCAGAAGAAGGTGAAAAAAAATAAGAACAAACAGAAAAAGTATTTGAAGCCTTTTACAAAAAAGAAACCCAAAAGAAGCAGTTATTTAAAAGAAAAATTGCATAAAGCAGCACAGCTGACTCTTTCAGTTTTGTTTTTATGCTGCTGTTATGCTAGGAGCTTTGATTATTTTTTTGTAAAAAAATTTATTTTCGATTTTACAATACATAACAATCTTACAAATACTTCAGATAAAAAATAAAACAAATTGATACACACCACATTTGGTCTTGCCCGCCCATTTCCCCCCAAACCACATCCCACATCAAACCAACTTAGTTCTTTCCCTTCTTTTTTCTTCACTCACCCCCTCTCCTCCTTCACCTCAACCTTCCTACTTACTTCTCACCTTCTTCTTTTCCCTCTTGATGCGGTCCAGGGGAAATGCCCGAACAGTTCCTCTCTCAAAATTAAAACATTAATATTATATACAATAAGACTATTTCTACTTTATCTGAACTACTTAATCTTCAACCCATCCACCCCCCTCCCCCCTCCCCTCCCCCCCTCCCCCTCCCCGGACTTCCCAGAGCAAAATACAGGATTATGCAAACATATTAAACATAATCTATTTAAGTTTACTAATTATACAATGAACAAAATCATAAAAACCCTTAACTCTCTTCAAACTTTAACATCATAAGTCTATAAACAAAATCATTACTCATAGAATAAGTGAAACTTTGTAGTTCCATATTTCTTCTGAACATATTCAATCCATCTTCTCCATACGTTAAAATATCTCTCTTGTGAATGGTCCTTTAAATAAGCAGAAATTTTAGCCATTTCTGCTAAATTAGAAACCTTAAATACCCATTCTTCTAAAGAAGGCAGAGTATCCTTCTTCCAATATTGACCCATCAGTAATCTTGCTGCTGTTATTAAATTCAACATTAAAATAGTTTCTTTAACATTAAAATCCACAAAAATTCCCAAAAGAAACAGTTGGGGAGTAAACTTAATCTTCCTTTTAAAAACCTTTTGAATGTCCCACCAAATCATAATCCAGAAGGCTTTAATATCTTTACAAGTCCACCAAACATGAAAATAGGTTGCATCCAAGCAACCACATCTCCAACATTTAGGTTGCAGGTTCGGGTACATACAGGACAACTTTTTAGGATCCAGATGCCATCTATAAAACATTTTATAAAAATTTTCCCTCAAATTCTGGGCCTGCGTAAATTTAACATTTCTAGTCCAAATTACCTCCCATAAGTCCAACGAGATCGGTTCTTGAATATTCTGGGCCCATTTAATCATACAATCTTTAACTAACTCTGTTTCTGAATCCAATTTTATTAACTCATTATAAATTCTTTTAATATGGGCACATTTCTGATCCTTGATCTGAATTACCAAATTTTCATCTACTAAAGTAATTCCCACTTTCTTATCCAAAGTCCATCTCTGCACGATTTGCAAATATTGAAACCACGATTGTAAAATGTTTTCTTGCTTTAACACATGAGAAGACTCTAATTGCCAATCAGTGCCCGACCAAATAAGTAACTCTTTATACGAAATGTTGTCAAAATTCACCCCCTTAGAAACCCCCTGGATTGCTTGTCCAGGGATCCCCCAAATAGGTATTTTATAATTTAACTTATAATAATATTTTTTCCAAACTCGAAGTAAAGCATATCTTAAAATATGTGACTTAAAGACCGAATCTACTTTCTTATCAAAAATTAAATATGCATGCCAACCATATAATAAATCCCACCCTTCAAGAACAAGAATATCTCTATTTGTTAAATTAAGCCAGTCACTTACTAAAGTTAAAGTGGCCGCATCATAATATAATTTCAAATTTGGTGCTTTAAGTCCACCTCTTTCTCGAGCATCTTGTAAAATCTTAAACTTTACCCTTGATTTCTTCCTGCCCCAAATAAATTTATTAATACCCTTCTGCCACTCATCCAAATTAGCATCCTTCTTTAAAATGGGTATCATCTGAAACAAAAAAAGAAACTTTGGTAGAACATTCATCTTCACTACTGAAATTCTCCCCAATAACGATAGTTGTAGCTTTTGCCAATCATTTAAATCTTTTTGAACTTTAACCCATAAGCGTTCATAATTATTCTTATACAATTTTCCATTAGATGTTGTAATATAAACTCCTAAATACTTAACTTATTAACTATTTCATAACCGGTTGTTTCAGCTATAAATTTTTTTCCCTTCCTAGACATATTTTTCAATGATATTTTAGTTTTATTCTTATTTACCTTTAAACCAGAGACCTGTCCATACTGTGCTAAAATTTCAACCAAATCTTTGACCGAATCTGTTGGATGGGATAATGTCACAACCAAATCATCAGCAAAAGCTCTCAGCCTATAATTAATCTTACTTATTTTTATTCCTTTTAATCTAAATGAGTCTCGAATTTTAATAAGTAAAATCTCCATTGTTAATACAAATAGCAAGGGGGATAAAGGACAACCCTGTCTTGTACCTTTTCCTATTTTAAATACGTCTGTTAATCCCCCATTAACTATAATTTGTGCCGATTGTTGTTGATAAATGGCCTTGAGAGCAGACAAGAATTTATCTCCAAAATTCATTTCCTCTACAACTTTCAATAGAAAATTCCAATCTAATTGATCAAAAGCTTTCTCAGCGTCTATAAATATTAAAGCAGCAGGGATTTGATTGTCCTTATCCAAATACTCTATTAAATTAACAATTTATCTTACATTGTTTTTCATATATCTCCCCATTATAAATCCAGATTGGTCAGTATGAATCAATTGTTTCAAAACCTGCATTAATCTATTTGCCAGTATCTTTGCAAAAATCTTATAATCTGTATTTAAAAGAGATATAGGCCTATAATTTCTAGGTTGGGACAGATCCTGGTCATCCTTTGGAATTAATGATATGAAGGCCGTTCTCCAAGATGGAGGTAATTTTGCTCCAGATAAAATATCATTAAAAAGTACCTTTAATGGTTCTATCATTTCTTCAGATAACATCTTGTAATAAATCGCTGTTAACCCATTAGTACCTGGAGTCTTACCAACCTTCAATTGTTTAATTGCAAAAATAATCTCTTCAGAAGTAATTAAACCATTAATCCCATCACATTGATCACTCGTAAGTCTAGGAAAATGTGCTCCCTGTAAATATTTTTCTATATCTGAAGTTTGTATACTTTCACTAGCATATAATTTAGAATAAAAATCTAAAAAAGACTTTTTAATCAAATTTTGTTGGTAGACTTCTTTACCTTTATAAATTATTTTATCTATAATCCTCAATTTCTGTTTCTTATGTAATTGATAAGCCAACCATCTACCAGGTTTATTTGTATTACAAAATGTATTATATCTCACATACCTCAAATTAGTTGCCATTTGATCTGTTAATAACATATTAAATTGCTCCTTCAGCAAAGTAATAGAAACTTTTAACTTATTGTCCATTGGATTTGATATTAAAATCTTTTCCTTACATTTAATCTCATCTTCAAGATCTTTACGTTTCTGGGTCTGTTTACATCTGTGAGCATTGTTCATAGAAATCAAAACCCCTCTCATATATGTTTTACAAGAATCCCATACCATTGGCATCGAAGTACCCTTATTCATATTCCAAGCAAAAAATTCCTTTAAATAACCTTTACATCACTGTATATTCTCTTCATATCTAAATAAATTCTCATTCAACCTCCAAGACCTTCTAGTTCTTTCTTCCGATGAAATTCCAACCATACCGGACTGTGGTCTGAAATTATTCTAGGAAATATCTTGATATTCTTCATCCTAGAAAAGAAATCACTAGTAACCAAGAAAAAATCAATTCTAGAATAAGATTGATGTCTATCCGAAAAAAAATAAAGTCTTTTTCCTCAGTATTCTGTTCTCTCCAAATATCTCTAAGTTCCAAATCATCCTTTAAGTCAAAAAAACTTTAGGAAGTTTTAAAAGGAGCCTTCTTATCTTTACTTGAGTCTAAAACACCATTCCAATCTCCCATAATAATAATTGACTTATAATCCAAAGAAGTTAATTTCTGATGAATCAACTTATAAAAATGTTTTTGTTGTTGATTGGGAGCATATAAACCAACAAGAAGAGTTCTCTTATCATTTATTAGTAAATCAATAATAACATATCTTCCTTGTAAGTCAAAATCAATTAACTTTGGTGAAAGCTCCTTTCTCACATAGATAACTCCTCCTCCTTTTTTCTGCAAAGCAGGAGCTATAAAATGTATCCCCAGCCGGGGATTAAACAAATATTTCTGATCTTTAGAAATAATATGAGCCCCTTGTAAACAAATAATATAATTTCTTTATTGTTTCAAATAATAAAAGATTTTCTTTCTCTTCTCTGGTGAGTTAAGCCCATTAACATTCCAGGTTGGAAGCTTTGCCATCCTTGGCAGGATGAAGCCTTTGGAACAAAGCCTCTAGATTTACAGTCAATGATCTCTTTGGCCTTGCTCCTCCCACCGGCTCCGAAATAGACTGTGGTAAACTTCCATCATCTGCCTTTTGTTGTTGTTGCTGTTGTTGTTATTGTTGTTGTCTTTCTCTACATTTATAAGTAGCGCGTGTAATTCTCTGTTCCCTTGGGTCTTCTGTTATTTGCAAATTCTGTTGCATAACTTCAACCAACAATTCTTCTCCCAAAGATGGCATTGAACCTACAGACAACTGTGCTTCTGCCTTGCTCTCATCTTTCTTTGATCTTGGAGATGGTGGTGGACTTGCTTTTAAAATAGTAACATAAAAATCTCTTGCTTTTGAAACTGTATTAAGACGGTATTGTGTACCAGCGTAAGTCACCACTATCCCCACAGGTATGTCCCATCTAAATTGAATTTGTCACTTCTTAAGTTCTTCAGCCAAAAAAGCAAAGTCTTTTCTTTTTCTAAGAATTTTAGAAGGTATTTCCTTTAAAACTATCACATCCTGAGCTGCAATCTGAAATCTTTATTTATAGAAGGCCTGTATAATTTCATTACAAAGTGATTTTCTCGCAAAATAGACCACCACATCTCTTGGTAATTTCCTCTGTTTTGTAACCCACGAATTAACTCTAAAAATCTTTTCTATATCTTTCAACATTTCTTCAGGATCAATTTCCAAAATAGAGGCCAGTTCTGCTGCAATTTCTTCTCTCAAATTCTCCTTAATATTTTCCTTCAGACCCCTTATTCTCAAAGCATACTCCATTTCTCTGTATTGTGACATTATAATTTCATTCTATGTAACATCCACATTTTCTTCTATTTTTTCAACTCTATCTTGTAATATTTCAACATTACCGACCACTTCATCCACCCTGTTGTCAATCTTTTCCACAAGGCCAGCAAGCCCTTGGAGTGCCAAAACAATATCTTTCCTGAGCTCATTACTTTCTTGAGCCAGAAGCTCTGCTGTTTTTTCTAGTGATTTTTCCAAAGTCTTATCTAAAGCATCTTGTAAATCCTGAAGTGTAAGTGCCTGAGGTGGGGGCGAAGGTGGAGAAGGTTTAGGTTTGGATTGTTGTACAGTCTGAGTTACTGGAGAGGCAGTTGAAGTTTTAGAAAGAGAAGAAAGTCCAGGACTTTTTGAAGCCATTTTTTTAAAAAAGGGAGGGTTTTCCCCCCCTTCTCTTTTTCAAAAAATAGTAATATAAGAACAAAGGAGAAGAAAAAGCAATTCCTCCTTTAAAAAAAGGGAATAAGAATTTTTCCCCTTTAAAATGAACCAAATCTATTACATTGTTAAAACTTTGTTGCCAGTTTAAAGATAGTAAGTAAAAAATAGAAAGTGAAAGTTCTCAAACAAAGAAAGTGACAAAGAAGGAGGATTCCTCTGCCATATTTCTTCACTCCAATTAGAATAGTAACAGGAGTAGATGTTAATTCAAACTGAGTTAGGTTTAAAGTAAAATCATCAATTCTTCTCTTCCTGACCGCTCTGTCTGCTTTTGAGTTAACTTACTGTTCCCATCAGATAGCAGCAGTGGAGGCAGCATCTAGCTTTGTTCCCTTCGGAGAACAAAGGCATCCAAGGAAACGGAGCAACATCCAGACTCTGAGGGAGCTCTCACTTCAGCTCCCAGAAAAAAAAACTGGGAAAGTTGTGAGGCTCTACCTCTATCCAGGCAGAAGCTCACCTCCCTCCCTTTGCCCAGGAGGAAAGTTTCAAGCCGCAAAACAGCTGATCGTCGCTGTATTTGCCGGCTTTTACGATTTCCCGGGATGGGCAGCTGTTAAACAGCAGCCATAAGCACGGCGCAGTCACAGGAAGTCGAGCTTTGATTATTTTTATTTAATGTTGACTTCTAGCTTTTATATGAAGTTTTTCTCATATGCATTGTAAGCATATGAGCATTTTACAGCTAAAATGGATAGCTGTAAAAATGTGTTAAATAAATGTGTTAAATAAATAAACATGATACTTTTGCTAAGGTACTAGATAGGTGGCTTTTGCAGCTAAGTGCTGGATAGATTTGCTGTGTTCCCATTGAAATCAATGGGCTGCTGAATAATGTAATGGGAAGAAAGAATAACCGTGAGGAACAGAAGAAAGAGCTGCAAACAGGATAATGGTCACATAATAAAAATCTTTGTATTATGCACCAGTTGCACCCTTTCCTGGATCATTAAGCCATGCTCTCAGTCACTCATGCCCTAGTAATCTTACAGTTGGATTACTGCAATGTGCTCCACATTGAGCTACCCTTGAAGAGTATTTGGAAACTACAATTGGTACAGAATGCAACAGAAGAAATAGTTCTAGAGACCCCTAGGGTGGTGCATGCAATGCCACTGTTGTATGAGCTGCATTAGCTGCCAGTTTGCTTCTGGGTCCAACTCAAGGGGTTCGTTATTACCTTTAAAGCCCTTCATGGCATTGGACCAAGTTACCTGAGGAACCACCTCACCCGATGGGATTGGCCCTCCCCACTTGCTCAAGCAGAAGAGACCTACCGTGGATCCCATCAGCTGAGGAATTTTGGGTAGAGTCTTCTCTACCATGGCCTCCACCCTCTAGAACATCTTGGTCCCAGATGTGAGATATGCCTTCACTCTTCTGGCCTTCCAGAAGGAACTTAACATTTGGCTCAGAGCCTTGATGGGGATACATTATGCTGGAGGTGGTTGATCAAATGAAAGAAAATAAGCATCAATCATCCTTTAGCCTTTATTTAATTGTTGCTAATTTTAATGTTTTTATATTTATGCTATCATGACTTTGTAAGCCATCCAGAGTCACTTTGGATTATGAGATGGACAGCTATAAATTTAATAAATCAATAACCTCAAAGTATCTTTGATTCTTGTTTCTTGTCTAATCCATCACACTGATTTTTCTGAGACCAAATTTTGGGTGCAATCAACAGTTTTCTAACTATTCCTCAGTGGTTTTCTGATAATGTTAATTGCCTTTCCTCTAAATAAACATTTAAGATAACACCCAGAGGAATTTGATGGAAGCAACAATGGTGCACTTTCAGGAAAAGAAGACTGAGAAGATGTGGGAGTTGCAGAAGCTTCATAAGCATAAAGAGATGAGGGTCACAAACTGCAGAACTGAAAAAGTCATCCTTGGTGGACCTCCATTTTTCAGTCTCAAGTTCTCAAGGTATAGCAACCTTCTTTCATTCTTTATTCTATAAAGATGATACCATGATAATGATAATACTGTCTTCTAAGGAAGCATCTAAACATGAGAAGCTGGGAAAAAAGCAATATGATAATGCAAGTGAGGAAAACCTAAGATGTTTGGGAGGTTCTTGGTGTAGTTCTGGTCTCAGCCAGTTTATACTTCACAAGAGCAAATAATCTCTCTTTTTTTCACACTAAGGTACCTTCTTCCATAACAAATTAAAATTAGTCTCATTCTGAAAAGAAACCTTGGGATTGAGCTCTCATCTGCAATTCAAGTCTGAGTAAAAGCAATTTAGTCTTCATTGCCACCAGAGAAATCAGTGATAGATCTACTATCAGAGAAATCTTCTAAGAACCTTCTACACACTTAAGGAAAAAACTTAAGCAAGTTTCTGCTAGTAACTTCTTGCTTAGGTGATCCCATCGATATGTTCCAATGTTCTTCCAAGCAACAGAATGAGAAGTTGTATAACAAGCTTATAGGATTTTTGATAGAACACGTTCTTAATTGAACTTTCTTCGGTAGATCAACCCAGCTTTCTCTCTAGGAGGAAATCTAAAGCCTGGGATCTTCTCTGCATACTCGATCTGGGTGAAATAAATTTGGGACAACTTAAATTACTTTGCTGTCATGAATCTACTTCTGAAACTAAAGCAACAGAGAGTTAGTGAGTATGGTTTGGCTAATATTGTCCTATAATCAGGGGTGTCAAACTGCCAGCCCACAGGCTGGATGCATCATGCGGAAGCCGTGCCCACCCCATTGCCCGCAGTGGCAAAACAGTCCCGATACGTTGCGTGATGTCACGTGATGTCGCGAGTTTGACATATTTATTTATTTATTTATTTATGAGACTTATATACCGCTTTAAGTGCAAGCACTCTCTAAGCGGTGTACACCAGTAAGCAATGTATGTATGTATGTATATATATATATATATATATATATATATATATATATATATATATATATAATATATATATATTTACATTGCCCCCAACAATCTGGGTCCTCATTTTACCTACCCCGGAAGGATGGAAGGCTGAGTCAACCTTGAGCCGGTTAGATTTGAACCACTGACCTGCTGAACACAGTCAGCTAAAGTGGCCTGCAGTACTGCACTCTAACTGCTGCACCACCTCGGCTCCTTTATCTGCTACAAAGCATTTAAATATTTCCAAAATCCTTTGACCTGTGCTTTACAATTTTTCCAGGGAATATCATTAAAGTCAGCTGCCATTTCTCCTGCAGAAAAATGTTATCAGTGTGCATTGTCTAGAGAGAGAGGAAATTGGATTGCGTAGCTTCTTCTTCAATGTATTGTTTACAGTTTTTGCAGGGCCAAATTGAAATCTTGTAAAATACACTTCCAATAAAAGAGATTAATAGAAGGAAAGCATGCCAATTTATGCTGCATGTTTGCTAAATGGATTTTATGAGCTCCAAAATACAATTGTAAATGAGAAAACTTACTTTACTGAATAACATTACTCCTTCATGGCGATGAAAAACATGTGATGTCACATCTCATGGTGTCACGAATCAATAATGTAAGATAGAAATTGCTGTTTGAATGAAACACGAATGAATGTAATAAATTCAGGTTCAGATTTATAAGTACTTACAGGTCTTAGACGAAAGATAGACATTGAGAAATCAATTTGCATGGCTCATAGTATTAAAACAATACAATGATAAATAGAGTTTCAAAAGTGATTTCTTTCCAAAAACAACTCAGCCCAGGGAAAATATGTATCCTTATTGTGTTGGGATGGATTCATACTCCATATGTGGAATGTAGATATTAAAAAAGAGTCCTTTTTTCTTAGCCAGATACTATTTCTTTCAGGAACATCATTAACTCTGAATAAGTGTCTCAGACTTCAAATCTCTCATTATATCATAAAATATCTCACCTGCTCCACAGCTTGGGTGATTCAAAGAAAAGATACTACATGGAGTGCCCAAATCAAACAGCTCCAAATGAGTTTATCCTTTCTGGGTTTCCATATCCACAAGGGTTCAAGCTGCCCTTACTTCTCTTCTTCTTAGTCATGTTTATCCTGACTCTTTCTGGAAATTCCCTCATCATTGGAGTGGTGATCTCTAACCTTCAGTTGCATAAGCCCATGTATTGGTTCCTTTGTCATCTCTCCATCTTAGACATGGCGTTCGCCTCTGTGGTGGTCCCCAAAGTCATTGCAGGATTCATTCCTGGAGGCAAAGTCATTTCTTTCCTAGGGTGTGTGACTCAACTGTACTTTTTTCATTTCCTGGGATGTGCAGAAAGTCTTCTCTACACCTTGATGGCTTATGACCGCTTCTTGGCCATTTGCAAACCACTCCACTATGGCAATATCATGAACTGGAAAGTGTGTCTCTTTCTCTGCTTGGGTACTGTAATTGGAGGCAGCCTTAATTCCACATTTCAGACTTTCCTTACCTTCCACTTGCCTTATGGACAGAGACACTATATTGACTATGTCTTCTGTGACATTCCTGCCATGCTGAAACTGGCTTGCGTTGATACAAAACTCAATGAATTGATGAGCTTCATTGACATTGGCCTTGTCGCAATGACCTGTTTTCTGCTTATCTTAGCATCCTACGTCTACATCATCCTGGCTATTTTGAAGATAAGTAGTAGTGAAGGACGGAACAAAGCTTTCTCAACTTGTACTGCCCATCTTATTGTGGTGGGCATCTATTACCTGCCTGTGATATATCATTATCTGAGACCAGCTTCTCAGGGCTCCATGGATGGTGCAGTGAGCGTGTTTTACACCACAGTAACCCCTTTGTTGAATCCATTGATATACACACTTAGGAACAAGGAGATGAAGACTGCACTGGTGAAATTGTGGAGAGGAAATGCAGAGTAGCCAGCAGCAAGTAAACAAACTCATTTTTCCTTTATTCTTCTATTATCAGATGTCACCTGAATGAAAAGTGAGCACAACCACCTAGAACTGTGATTGTACTCAATGCCTTTGGCGTGTCCTCCTCACAGATTGTGTCAATCCCAGATTTTGGGTTTATACTGTGCTCCAGAGAAAGTTTGCTCATCTGATATTAAAGACACTAAAGAATTCCATTTCCAGTGGGAGGGTTTTTTGTGTACATTGTGTAAATTACCATTTCCCCATTGAAGCTGAATTCTTCACAAACTCTCATTCTCAAATTAAAATACTTTTGTTGGATGTTTGGAGTTTATGTGTTATAAATTGCTATTGGACACTTGAATTAAAAACCCAAATTTAAAGTCATAAACCTCACCATGTTTAATATGAATGACTTCGCAATGTCTCTCTTTTCCTACTTCCCAGGACTTGCTACAGATCACCAATGTTGTTGACACTAAATATTGGGACCACCTATCTCTAATAACTTTTGTCCACCCAGTATAATTGGCCAAAGCATATGTGCTCCAAATCCCTTTAATTCAACAATGTCATGTTGGCAGTGACCCTTGTAGAAAGAGAGAGATGGAGAATTGACCAGTGAGTAATATAAAGCAAACACTGGACTCTCCAAAGATGTAGAAAATCTATTGCAGTTTATAGCAATAGCACTTAGACTTGTATACCGCTTCACAGTATACAAGTCTAAGTGCTTGTATACAGCCCTCTCTAAGTAGTTTACAGAAATAGAGTCAGATTATTGCCCCCAACAATCAAGGTCCTCATTTTACCGACCTTGGAAGGATGGAAAGATGAGTCAACCTTGAGTCGGTGAGACTTGTACTGCTAGCAGCCGGCAGTCAGCAGAAGTAGTCTGCTGTACTGCATTCTAATCACTGCATCACCACAGCTCATAAGTTATTCTTCTGAGATCCTTCAGCTTTCAGTCATGAAAAATTGTGGAGTGTCAACCATCCAAACCAACAACTCAGTGTAAAGAAAATAATCAAACCAAGGAAGTAAATGAGTCTGGTAGCAACAGATGGAGGCTTGTTTGTCCCCAGCAATGGTCTTAATGTGCCTTCTAGCTTTGGCTGTGAACATATAGGTTAGCGTTTCTCAACCTTTAAGATATGTGGAATTCAACTCCCAGAATTCTGCAACCAGCAGAATTGGCTGGGGAATTCTGAGAGTTGAAGTCCACATATCTTAAAGTTGTCAAGTTGAGAAACATTGACATAGACAATTCCTTATTTGCAAAGTCTCTGGACCTCTTAGTAAGGTTTTCCAATGAGGAGCTATCTAGCTTCTTTACCTAGGTGAAAAGGTGAGTCCTGGAGAAGGTGAGTTTTGCCCTGTTAAAGGCAATTCCAGCCAACAGTTCCTCCACAGGTTCTTCTCCATTTCTGGCATCTCCCACTCCATTCTTCTTCTTCTCCAGCCCTCACACCTGCCCTTGTTTCAGAGCAGCCTTGATGCTTAGTATACATTAAGACTTCAGGCATTTGCAGTGTGGAGCTGTGATTTACTCAGAAGGAAATTGGTGTCTTCCCTTCCACACAGTCACCTATCGGGATGTAGGAAGCCTGTATTCTTGAAATACAAGGCCCTTTTCACAGTTACTCACACCCTGGTTACTTCCAAAATGAACTACTATAACATGCTCTACTTGAGGTTCCCCTTGAAAAGAATCCAGAAGCTTCAGCTAGTGCAAAATGAGGTGGTCTGAGCAGTTACATGGAAGGACACATCACCCTCAACTATGTGAGTTGCACTGGTTTCCAGTTTGCTTCTGGACCTAACTGAAGGTGCTGATTTTGATCTATAAAGCCCTACATGGCATAGGGTCATGTTATCTGAATGAATGCTTCCTCCCATTTACATCTACCCATCCCATCAGATTCAGCAGGAGAGGCATGTTAGGGCTCCTATCTGTTAAAGAGTTCTGTTTGATGGGATGCAGGAAGGAGAGTCTTTTCTACCATGCGTCCTACCATAGGACAGCATCCCCCCTGAGGTGAGGTTGTCCCAATCCTATGGACTTTCTGAAAATGCCTCAGAATGTGGTGTTTTTTTTCAACAGGGCCCCAAATCCATTGCTAACAGGGAGCCCATGCTCTGACTGTATCAGGATTAGGTTTCTGATGCATACCCTCTCCATATGGTCCACAAGAGATAAGTTTCAAAGACCAGATTTAAAGTATTGATATTCATCTTGAAATTTCTAAATGCCTTGAAGCCTGGTGGGCTAAGGCAGGGGTCCCCAACCCCTGGTCCATGGATCAGTACCAGGCTGCAGCATGCCAGCAATCAGTCTGCACAAACAAGCAAAGCCCCATTCGTGGGATGCAGGCAGCACACAAAAGCATGCATTCTCCAGTCCATGGAAAAACCTCTCTCCACGGAACCGGTCCCTGGTGCCCAAAAGGTTGGGGACCTCTGGTCTAAGGAACTCTCTTCCTATTAACTGTGGTGGTGAGGTCGCAGACTTATGACATATGAGGTGGGTGCCGAGGGATCCGGCGGTCGGCCGGGCCGGGCAGGTTGGGAGAGATGGCGGTGTAGTAGAAGAGATGAATGTCTGTGATAACCTTGGAGATCATTTGGTTGGAAACGTATATGTAAAGTTTCGACGTGAAGAAGATGCAGAAAAGGCTGTGATTGATCTGAATAATCGGTGGTTTAATGGACAACCAATTCATGCTGAACTTTTCCCCATGACAGATTTCAGAGAAGCTTGTTGTCGTCAGTATAAATGAGAGAGTGTACAAGAGGAGGTTTCTGTAACTTTATGCATTTGAAGCCAATTTCTCGAGAATTGCAACGTGAGCTATACTGCCGCCGCTGCAAGAAGCATAGATCAAGATCAAGGTCTCGTGAACGTTGCTCTAGATCCAGAGATCGTGGTCATGGAGGAGGAGGTGGTGGTGCAGTAGGAGGTGGAGGGGGCCGAGAACATGATAGAAGGTGGTCAAGAGATCGTGAAAGATCCGGACGATTCTGAGCCATGTCATTTCTATCATCTCTGTTAGAAAGTGTTGTAGTTGATTGACCAAACAAGTTCATAATAAAACTTTTTTTAAAAGATGGGCTTCTGAATAAAAATTTGTAGTGATACAGTTTTCTATGTGTAATTGATTTCTTATAGAAAAACTCTTTTATCAGTTTTGACCCTGATGAATGATTGGGGTATTTGCAATATACTGCAGATACCTGATTTTTACATTTAGATATGGATGAAACTATTAATGTGTATAATATTGAAGTATTATATACATTAAAATACAGTTAAGCAGTTTAATTTTTCCTCTTTTGTTTCTGCTTTTTGTTTATTTAGATTAGCATAGGCACATCTAATCTGAAGTTGTGCAAGAAACATTTCTTTACTCAGTTGCATTAATCTGTATGTTTCTTTGTTACTAAGAAATTTGTGCTCTGTGGATGTGGCATTTACAATAAATCCAATTTTTGACTTTAAAAAAAACTGTGGTGGTGCAGTGGTTAGAACAGTGGTTCTCAACCTTTTTAATGCTGCGACCCCCAACTTGTCGTAAGTCGAGGACTACTCAACCGGTCGTAAGTCGAGGACTACTCAACTGGTGCAGCACCGTTTGCAGAATGGGACTTTTGGCGGGCTCAGCAGGGCAGAGACAGCCTTGACAATTCCTATTGGCTTTTGAAAGCCAATAGAATTAGACTCTATTCAAGAGAGTCTATTCTATTGGCTTTCAAAAGCCAATAGAATAAGGGAGTAGCATAGCTAAGGAAAAGGGAAAAAAATGGCGGACTGCGTTGTTTAGTGACCCCCGTGAAATGGTCATTCGACCCCAAATGGGGTCCCGACCCACAGGTTGAGAACCACTGGGTTAGAATATGGTACTGCAGGCTATTTCTGATGACTGCTGGCTGCCAGCAGTTTGGCAGTTCAAATATCACAGGTTCAAGGTTGACTCAGCTTTCCATCTTTCTGAGGTCAGTAAATTGTGGACCCAGACTGCTAGGGGCAATACACTGACTCTATAAACTACTTAGAGAGGGCTGTAAAGCACTGTTAAGCAGCATATAAGTCTACGTGCTATTGCTATAAGGCATCTCTGTTGTTAAAATCTGCAAGTTACACCATATTACTGAAAAGTCCCTACAATTAAAAATTCCTTTTTCTGGATTATGAAAGCAGCTTTACTCTTTTATTGAAGATAGGATAGACAGTAAGGAAGATGGCCTTGATAGAGACACCTAGGAACCACCATCTAGGCAAAACGGACTGAGCATCTTTTAAGTCCAGAATAACCAGATAGCATTCAAATGTGGCTCAGGCTGATTCACTTGAGTATGAGAAGGAGGATGAGGAGCTTCAACACAATGAGACCAGTGATATTCAGTTTACAAAATAACAGAGTTATACCTCTTTTAATGTAGCCTAGGACTGGCTTTTTTGGCAGCTGCAGCACACTGCTGGCTCATATTTAAGTAATTGTCTACTAGGACTCCAAGACCCTTCTCACAGTTACTATTACTGAGCCAGTACCTCCTATACTGTACCTATTCATTTGGTTTTTCTTGCCTAAATGTAGAACCTTACTTTTTTCACCATGAATTTCATTTTGTTAGATAGCGCCCAGTGTTCAAGCTGTCCAAGTCCTCCTGTATCTTAAGCCTGTCTTCTGAAGTGTTGGCTACTCCTGCCAGCTTGGTGTCATCTGCAAATTTGATAAGTTCCCCATCTATTGAAGATATTGAGGAGTACTGGGCCTAAAACAGAGTCTTGGGGTATCCTACTGCATACTTCCCTCCATGTGGATGCAGTTATTGGAGCCTAGTAAAATGAATTTTAGCCTTACTGTGGAGTTGGTTCCTGCATGGTCAACCCAGTGGAACTGATACCCTGTGCAAAAAGGTGAGTTCTGGGCTTGGGTTTGGCCCTAATTCAAAGAACAAACTGAAAATCTGAAAGACTGCATCTCTTTCACCAGGTTACTAAAGATCTGTCTGTTGATGGATTGATGGGGCTGTCCAACTCTTCATAAATGCAAATCCAAGAGTTATACAATGATTAAAAACACAATTATAATGGTGTTAATGACAAAAATTGTTAAAGATCAATGACCACAATAAAAATACACATTGACATTTCTTATACCTCCCACAATGAGCTCATCTAACACCCTTGTCCCAATGTCAGAACATTGGTGAGGGCTACACAACCTTCCTAAAGGTTCACAGGATTGGGGCTAATCAAATTTAAGGGGGAGAGATTGTACCATAGGGCAGGCCTCACATCTCAAAAGGTGTTTTATTCA